CATCTTAAGCTCCAGAATTGACTGCTTCTATAAATTCTGGACATTGTGTCATAACCTTTTATTATCTAACATTCTGATATCTTTACAACCTAAAGGTAAAATGTAACCCAGTACAATAAATGAAAGAAAAATAATAATAATTATTGGAATGTATGTATCAAGGATTTGTTACGTGCCATATTTGGTAACTATCTCTCCTAAATGACGAGAATTAATCGAAGTCAAGTTTTATGTGAGGCTACACCGCCCATCTTGTCAATTACGATGTATAAACACTGATCGGTCGGAATAATGGGTAGATTTGTATAGGCCGTCAATAAATCCTGTTAATACCTAGCGTTTTTATATCCAGATCAAGGGTAGGGACAACAACCCATGCCTCTGCAATGTGTACCATGCACTTTAACGCCATCACAAGGTAATTCTGCCGTTGTTTGGTTTCTATCCGACAGCAACCCATACAGTCTCATGTTGACATCATGTAATGTGCAGAATAATCACATAAGGGAATTCTTCCATGGTTAATAGTTATTAGATGACGACCGATATTGCTTGTATCACCTCTACTGACGGAACGACGTTTTTGCATCTCAATTTGGCTATTGTTATAAAAATAAGATAAAGCCGGGGTTGAATGGCCTTTATCGCTAACGAGGGTAGCGCGTAATCATGCCCCAAGACACCCGTGCTCCCTTCCGTTACGTTTGTCTTTCTACGATGGCCACATTTTACATGTAAAAAAAATAGCAAGTGAGATTTCTGATTTCAGATGTTTTTTATATGGAAGTGGAAAATTTTGCGTTTATGGCATTTTACCTTGCAGGCTTGATTGTGGTACCTGTTTGGTTATGGGGGGCGATATAATGGAATGGGACAGCGATCTTTTATTCGCAGCGGTTGGCGGTACAGCTAACCCGATACCTACATGTATGTATTGTGTCACGTGCGAAATATACACCGACATGAGGCTCATTAGTCCGAAGTCATCTTAAAAAAAACACGGAATTCGCGGGACACCAGGTCCGAGCTCGCCGGACTTCGCTCGAAGTATAGATCGACAAACATGTAGTTACCGACACGATGTACAGATAAACATAAGTGTAGTTACCAACACGATGTACAGATAAACATAAGTGTAGTTACCAACACGATGTACAGATACCATAAGTGTAGTTACCGACACGATGTACAGAAAACAATAAGTGTAGTTACCGACACGATGTACAGATACCATAAAGTAGTTACCGACACGATGTGCAGAAAACAATAAGTGTAGTTAGCGACACGATGTACCGATAAACATAAGTGTAGTTAGCGACACGATGTACAGATAAACATAAGTGTAGTTACCAACACGATGTACAGATACCATAAAGTAGTTACCGACACGATGTACAGAAAACAATAAGTGTAGTTAGCAACACGATGTACAGATAAACATAAGTGTAGTTAGCGACACGATGTACAGATAAACATAAGTGTAGTTAGCGACACGATGTAAAGATACCATAAGTGTAGTTAGCGACACGATGTACAGATAAACATAAGTGTAGTTAGCGACACGATGTACAGATACCATAAGTGTAGTTAGCGACACGATGTAAAGATACCATAAGTGTAGTTAGCGACACGATGTACAGACACCATAAGTGTAGTTAGCGACACGATGTACCGATAAACATAAGTGTAGTTACCAACACGATGTACAGATAAACATAAGTGTAGTTAGCTACACGATGTACCGATAAACATAAGTGTAGTTAGCGACACGATGTAAAGATACCATAAGTGTAGTTAGCGACACGATGTACAGATAAACATAAGTGTAGTTAGCGACACGATGTACAGATAAACATAAGTGTAGTTACCGACACGATGTACAGATACCATAAGTGTAGTTAGCGACACGATGTACAGACACCATAAGTGTAGTTAGCGACACGATGTACAGATACCATAAAGTAGTAACCGACACGATGTACAGATACCATAAGTGTAGTTAGCGACACGATGTACAGACACCATAAGTGTAGTTAGCGACACGATGTACCGATAAACATAAGTGTAGTTAGCGACACGATGTACAGATACCATAAGTGTAGTTACCGACACGATGTACAGATAAACATAAGTGTTGTTACCGACACGATGTACAGATAAACATAAGTGTAGTTAGCGACACGATGTACAGATAAACATAAGTGTAGTTAGCGACACGATGTACAGATACCATAAGTGTTGTTAGCGACACGATGTACAGATAAACATAAGTGTAGTTAGCGACACGATGTACAGATAAACATAAGTGTAGTTACCGACACGATGTACAGATACCATAAGTGTAGTTAGCGACACGATGTACAGACACCATAAGTGTAGTTAGCGACACGATGTACAGATAAACATAAGTGTAGTTACCAACACGATGTACAGATAAACATAAGTGTAGTTACCAACACGATGTACAGATACCATAAAGTAGTTACCGACACGATGTACAGAAAACAATAAGTGTAGTTACCGACACGATGTACAGATACCATAAAGTAGTTACCGACACGATGTACAGATACCATAAGTGTAGTTAGCGACACGATGTACAGACACCATAAGTGTAGTTAGCGACACGATGTACCGATAAACATAAGTGTAGTCAGCGACACGATGTACAGATAAACATCAGTGTAGTTAGCGACACGATGTACAGATACCATAAGTATATTCTAAGCTTACGATTAACCAGCTACTTACATGTATATATTAATCATATTCTATCTCCCTGCTCAAGCAAAGAATTTTCAACAGCCGATGATATGTTTGTAAAGAACTTGTTTATGAATATCTTAATTTATAATTAACAAAAGCTATTCAGTGGTTTAATTGATTTTTTCCAAGGCGTTTAATTGTGCCTTGAGGGTTGAGCTTTGGTCGGAATAACTGAAATATTGTATCACTGGAACATTTCTCACGCTGGAACAAAATATGTACTGCAATATCAAATCTTGTATTCAAATAGGTAACTCTATCTCTTGGTTCTTTCCAAGCCATTCAGGTGTCCGGCAAGGCGAAAATGTTATCTCCACCCACACACACACACGCCTTTTCTTAACGATTTAGAACCCTGGCTGAAGAACCATGGTGGTGAAGGTATCAGCTTATTTTGATCAAAAATACACATTATGTATGCCAGTTTTGTTACTTTTATGCGCGGACGATATTATTCTACTTAGCACGAATCCAAGACCCCTAGAAAAGTATTTAAAACGTGTTGTACAGTTACTGCGAATAATGGAAGCTTCATGTTAACATTTCTAAAACAAACATGGGTAACAGTCAGCTGGAAATGGTTGATTACTATAATAACTTAGCATGGAATTCAGAAAATTTAGAACATTTGCATTTGCCGCAAAGTCCCTGATAGAGAATGCCACTGTACATGTATTATGTTCTGAGAACAGTACGAAATATTAACCTTCCACTTGACTGTATTTTAAAAGCATTTGATATTATGATTTTACCTATCTTGTTGTATGGCTCTGAAGTATGGGAAACCGAAAACATAAATCTGATCGGAAAGGTACACCTAATTATGTTAATCTCAGGCGTTTACCACTTTGGTGAAACCCACGAGCACGGGTATGGTGCTGACAAACATAGAAACATAATCGAGGCAAATCGGGATTCGATCCCGCAATCATAGATTCCTGGCGTGCACAAGGCTCTTTAACAGTTATCATCTGTTGTCTTCCCAATCACACAACCACACTGATACTTGGTCACAGTGAACTGCAGGGTAGATTGGGCAGAAAGCCAAATATTTATAGTTTTGGAGTACTGTCAATAGTTAGGGGCGATAGGGGGGCCAAGTAGTTGAAGTGCTGTCTCATCACATTGAAGACCCGGTTTCAATTCCCAATATAAATACAATGAGCGAAGCCAAGTTTTGGCTCTAAAATCGTGACAACATTACAACACTTTGTTCGTTCTTAAAATCAGATATAGCCTACCTGATTTTTCTATCTCGAATACGTACATAAAAGAGCAGTTCCGCATGGAAACATATAAGGCTGCGCTATGTATGTTATGGGTACGAATGTATATACTTTCCGTCGTTTCTGAGCGCCATGAGCACTACGTCCAAATGATGTACTATCGATGGGGTATTTATGTTCTGCGTTGGCTATCCTTTGTCATTGTAATAAACGGGAAGACGATAACCAAGACAATCAGGCTGACATTTACACACAACTTGAATTTACAGTACAACGTTCAGTGTACGATATACAATTCGCTTCAATCATAACATTAATGTGAGGCTCATTGACCAAGTAGAGGTTTTGTTTGTTTGTTTGTTTTAACGCCGCACTCATCAATATCCCAGCTATATGACGGCGGTCTGTAAATAATCGAGTCTGGACCAGATGCTATCATGAGCATTGACCTACGCGACGGGGATACGACGACATGCATACACCAAGTCAGCGAGCTCGACCACCCGATCCCTTTAGTCGCCTCTTACGACAAGCATAGTCGTCCCTTACAGCAAGCATGGGTTGCTGAAGACCTGTTTTACCCCGGATCTTCACGGGGTTAAGCAGAGTTGTAGAGGATACAATAAGTATCTTGATTATAGGAGGAAACATATTTATCAGTCTAGATATGATGGTGTGTTTTGATTATATGTCTAGATATGATGGTGTGTTGTTTTACATATCTAGATATATTAACACGAACGTGCTTCTGCTCTTACTTAGTTAAAGCGTGACTGTGGACTGATAGCGATATGAGGTCAAGGGGTACTTCGATGAAAATAGCAGGCCTTTTCAAATAATGTGGTGAGAGAACAAAATCGTTTACATCATCGAGTAAATTTATAGTTGTGAAATCTCTGCTTGATCTTGACAGAACAACGATGTTGATGGATAATAATAAACATAAATAATTACAAAAATACTACGACAACTACTACTACTGCTACTACTACTACTACTGCCACTTACATGTTGAAACAATTGTCAGCGCAACTGCAATAGAAACAGTCTTACAGATACAGTGTAATACATCATTTACATACTTTACGTCGAAAAACGCAAACGCATTTAAAATCATGCATATGCAAACAAATATAGTTAAAAGAATAAACGTTCAAATATTCAAAACATTTTCATCAATAAAAAATGACTGAAATTTATAAGAGTTGGAAGGTACATTTGTAACTTCACTATACCATCACGAAACAAAATAATAAACTGTATATATATATATTATTATTTATTATGTTATATTATCCAAGAGAATAATACATGTACATAGGTGTGGGGCACTATCAAGAACTGATGCTTGCATGCTTTATAGTAGAGCTTACCTAGCAGCCCCAGTGCGTGTCGTGTCATCGCTGAGAGCAGATACACGGTTTGCTTCAGTGAAGAACAGCCGTGAAGTGCCGTGTATATTGTGGTACGTTATCTGATGGTAAAATCTGACACATGCGCAAAACGCGTATGACGTTTATAATCACGTGATGTCAGATCGTCTCGGTTAAACTCCAGAACACAAAGGATGACAATATGTACCCAACTGTGCATTATTAATACTCGTTCTTATTCTGTCATTTATTAGCTGGAACGTCAGTCGAACATTCTGATTGTTCGAATACCTTGAAAGGCGTAGATCTGATTGGTTGAGGAAGGACTGAGTGCCTTCCTTCCCACCCGGTCGAATCGATGTATAGCAAGCCAAGCATGGAAGCCTCGCGGGATCTACGTATTTGTTTTGTTAGGGATGTAAAGCAATAGTGAATGGGTGGTGAATTGTGACCAAATATTCATACATCTTTGTATATATTGTAATATATTTGACTTTTATACCGTCTGTAATAACACATTTTCAATTTTACACACCACATATTATATTATTCAACAATTTCAACGAATATTTTACCACACATCACCACCTTTTATTTTTATTATTAATTAAGCAATTCCCGTTCAGCAAATACCTGAGTTGTGCACCCGACATTAAATAAATGAAATACGAATGGGTGGTGATTGGCGACCTTGCCTAACTCGGGTTATGGGAGCATGGGTTTAATTATTGTTTTCATATATAACTTGAGGAGCAGTTTCCTGCAGCATGTAATCTGATGTTTCATATTTAAGCAGCTTTCCCGGACAAAAAATATTTCAACTTTCAGAAACCATAAGTAATTTTCCTTTTCCTATACGAACACCATTACATCCAGGTTGTTCCAGGTTGGTCATACGAATACGTACATACACCCGATACAGAAGTGTCAAAACGTATGGCGTCATCATGGGCAAGTGACTTAGTTCAATGTGCCTCTTGTCACCCAGCAGGGAATTGTTACCCGACACGTGAGGCGGATGTAAAAACCCTCTAGCACCCGTAGGCATCTTGGGTTGTATACTCCCCAGGTAGTGGAGAATTATAACTGGAATGCAAATGGATCCATTGGTCGGGGAACAAATAAAACCACATTCAAGCAGATACTAGTACCTGGATACCTGCGGGATATTATTATTATTATCATTATAATTAGTAGTAGTAGTAGTAGTAGTAGTAGTAGTAGTAGTAGTAGTAGTAGTAGTAATAGTAGTAGTAGTAGTAGTAATATTATTAGAAATATTATATTTAGAAGAAGGCTTTCTGTTTGCTGCTCAGGACCAGTCACTTCCCACTTCCCACTCCCCACTTCCCACAAGATTCAGGAAAAACATGGCAAATATGCGGACCTCGCTTTCAAAAGGTCACGCTTGCATCCCAAGTACCAAGTTGTCCGAATCCCCATTTTTCTCGGTGCCTTAGGTTTGGTACCTCCCAATCTCTTGACTGATATTGGGAGAGGGCCCGGGTTTGCTGCCGGGAATACAGCCCTTCTGACAATCTGGGTAATGCAGAAGGCTGCAGTGTTGGGGAGTCTTCACATTCTCCGAACAGTTCTGGATGGTTTTGACTAGGCAGCGCATCCTGGGAGAAGTCCCAATTCGCGGTCTGGGCTGCGTGTAGAGGGGGCAAGGACCCTGAGCTGATGTGAGCCTAACCTGGATCACCCAAACCTTCTTTGCTGAAATCCGACGTGGCAAAGAACCAAAAGTGGCACCATAAAACGGAAATGCCTTCTCAACATCCATGACTTTATAACCATGGTAAAGAGACAAAAACCAAGCAGCTGAGTGGAGATGGCTCATAGGCATAGACGTGAACCAGCTGAGAGAAGGCGATACATTGCTGGGCGTGTGGGAATGAACTCCATGTATAAAGTGTATAATTCCATGAACTTCTAGGTGATAAACATCAAAACGCTTTATTTCGTGATTTTATCGCTGTATATTGTTACAATGAAATCAATGCTTTTAAACTCTTGACATGGCAGCTGACATTCAAACACTATCTGTTTTATCTTTAAAATAAAATGATCTGCTTTCTTAAGATTGTTATCTCCAGGTACTGATCCGTCGAATCTTAACTACATATATCCAACCGATCGAGATGAGACCCAGTCGCCACGTGGAACATTGATTACGGGATTACTAATTATTTGTGTAATCAATAGGTACAGCCGCAATAGTTCAGCATGACCAGTATTGACAAACTGTTGTCATGGCCACAAGAAACATTCTATTGTCTCCCAATAAAGAAGAACGTGTTCGTTCGATGGATAGTTACAGCATTGTTTAACCTCTGTTTGTAACCATTAGGTGGACATAGTGGTTAACCTTGTTTCAGCTGTAATATTTATGACCGATAAATATCATTTACAGCTGGGTGACATTTCGGATCATTTGATGTTGTTGACGACTACAAGAAACCTTTCATTTCTCTTAGCATTGCAAAATTGTTTTGTCTCCTGCGAGTTAGAACATAGAGAGAATCTGTTGACACGCTTGTACAGAAACAGATGTTTGTAACGACATATCATCCAGGAGATTTTACAGATGTCGGAGATCAATTCTATTCGCTAAGTTTAAGGATTTCGTTGCTGTGAGAATGTCGCGAGCGGAATTCATTTTGCCCAGTTGTTAATGGATGAAGTGTGATGTATGTGAAAGTCGATTCCTCCTTCATGGAAGTGGACTCTGAACATGCATGTCACTTTGCAAACAATAGATTAATTATATGGTTTGAGGAGTGGAGGATATGTATGTTGCATTTGTATCAATAGGGAACTGTCGGCATTGGTCATGCGGACCACAAAGCATAGCTCAGAGGTAACCATGGCCTTGGGGCTCGATTTCCTATACCTGCAGAGTGTAAACAGTATCACTACTGACCAAAACTGACCCCAAAATGAACATTAAAATTCGGTAACCTGAGTTCAGGTTTTAATAAATAATAAAAGATGAGTTGCTTACATGATACGATAAAAATGATGGAAACACCGAAAGCGGACCTTGAAAAATGTTTGACCTCACATATTTGTTTGTTTGTTTGTTGTTTAACACCGCAGTACAATATGTGACAAAAACTTTATACACTGTTCTTAAGTTGTAAACATAATGGAATCAACACATTCATTTGCGCACATGTATATCAAATCGATCTTAGCCTACTCGCACAACCTTTTATAGAGTTTCGACAGACGTCTATGACGTCATCAAGGATGTGCATGTAGGAACGGCGCTATAACTAATGTACATAGAAGAACAAATAACCCGTTTACCCTAGAATAAAAATACATTGGATTCTAAATACAACAACAACAATAATAACATGTTTCTGTACTGCTGAACGGTACAGAAAGGAGTGTCAACCAAGCGATGTGCAATATCAAATCAGCCCAGACTTTGTCAATGAGAGGCTATCTGAACGACCACTGTTTGTTTGTTTGTTGTTTAACGCCGCACACAGCAATATTCCATCTATATGACGGCTGTCTGTAAATAATCGATTCTGAACCAGACAATCCGTTGATTGACATCATGAGCATCGATCTGGGAAATTGGAATACAATGACATGCATCAACGAAGTCAGCGAACCTGACCACCCGATCCCGTTCGTCGCCTCTTACGACAAGCATAGCCGCCTCTTACGGGTTACTGAAGACCTATTCTCTTCACGGGTCTTGACTTCTAAGAGGATGCAGAGGATTCCATCTACTCCTTTTGTTGATAACCAATTATGCGAGAGTTGTTACGCAGGGGTTGTGTTGGTGTGGGTGGTTAAAACTTAAAGGTAAATTTTATGACAATATCAGAACATATTTTTGAATGATCAGAAACGTTTGAATGAATTGTTTATTTACAGATATTGAACGCTGACACACACCTATAAACAACGTTACCAGTAATGCTATTTTCATTTCATTTCGATAAACAGGAAACCTCAGCAGTTTCAGAATGATGTAACTGCCGGGAAAGTATCATGGTCCACGCATCAGTTGGTGAAATCGAAAATGTATGCAGGTTGTTGTTTATATCGTTTACCTTACATTCAATATTAATGGGTTAAAATCCCTTGAGACCGTCAAGTGTTTTCTAGCGAGTGAGTATGGTTTTACGCAATATCAGGATACATCAGTGAGACAAGAAAACCTTGTGCAGTCAGAGACACATCAGGGAGGCAAGACAACCTTGTGCAGTCATCGTCATCATCATCATCATCATTTAATGTATTCAGGCCATAGGCCAATATACATACAATAATATTATGTTTATACAATTTTGTACAAGTATAAACATGCAGACTTTAAGTTATATATACAATTTTGTGAAAAATATATCGCATCACAACACAACAAGGCGAGATTAAAGCACTTGATTAATAAAGGCAAATAACCTCAAGAATAATTAAACATCATTTGTACAAAGACGGTTGCGAAGTCGTAAACCATAATTTATGTAAAGGATAGTATTCTTTTGTTGCTCGTTAGAAATTTCATCAAAACGGAGGAGCTTGATTAGTGTATTGATGTTTTGGGGTAAACCTTGGAAATATTTTGTTCTGAGCGATTCATAACATGGACAGATAAGCATAAAATGGTATTCGTTTTCAATAAATGTGGGCCAAAAAGGACAAAAACGCATATTTTTTTAAACTGAGGAAAAACGACCCGTATTACATACTAAATTGTTCAAACCTAATTTAAAACGTGTAAAACACACTCTTAGTTTTCTGTCTGTTATTTCTGTTGAGTACTGTTCTGGAGATAAGCAGGATTTAAATGTTTTATTAAGGTCGTATCTTGAACTATTTTCCAATGTAGCTCTCCATTCTTGGATAAACATATCAGATGCAACTTGTTTAAATACACTAAGAAATGCTGTCTTATCTCCGACACCTTGGTAAATCCAAACATATCCAAATACATGAAGAAATAAAAGTTGTCTGATTTTAGTAACCCATGTTATATAACCAACATTGTCGCGGTATTTCAGCATTTCATAACATTTACGTGGAATACGATCAGGTGACATTTCTGTAATCTTTAACCAATATTTTAGACCGCGTACATAAGAACAGATGTATAAGTGATGTCTTCCACAT